TCGTTTAGACGTAAAGATAAACCTTAACAACGCGAGAAGGCATCGTCGAGGTGACTCGCGCATTGTCAATCAAACAAGATTTTTTTTCAAGATATATTTTTTAGCACTTTTGGCCGAGAGCACAAAGTCTATAATAAAACAATCGATAAGCGTGCAGCGGATGTCGGTGTTTTTCGCGCTCAAAATGATCTTTCTGGGTAAAATTAAAAATGTACAGCAATCGCGCGCACAGAGAGCCGACAAAAAGTTGCGAAAGAGAACTCGCCGCAAAGCTTCAATTCTGCAGGTGTATCTAAGTATTGGAAACGTGTAGAGCCACATTGTGGTGAAGCGACGCGAGTGAGGCGAGTCGAGCAGTGCACGGGAGAGGGGGAGAGAGAGAGAGAGAGAGAAGGTTAAGTTCAGAGTCCACATCGTATGCGCATCAGCATCAGCAGCAGCAGCAGCAACGGGAGCGGCATCGTGGCAACGTGGTTAGCGAACTATCTCAATTTGCCTAAGCCGCAACCGCAGCGACCGCGACTTCCCTCTCTCATCCCATCCATAGTAGTCTCTCTCTCTCTATGCGCCGCGCGCTTGGACCACAAAGAGAGATCCACTCGCTTTCGCAAACTCTCAGCTGGCGCTGTGCACAGCCGTCGATGCGCGCGCTACTGTTGCCGCTGCCGCTGCTGCAAGCTCGTTACACTCGCAGCGCGTACAGCAGCAATACCAAAGTACACCAACGACCGTCGAAATTTCAGTGGTTTCTCTCGCGATCTTTCGCTTCGTGCGTGCTACACACACACACACGTACATTTCTGTATGCAAAATACGTCCATTGTGTCTCTGTGTCCGTGCTTGTATGTAGCTTGCATTCAATGTATGCGATTACATTTTACGCTTTGGCGGTTCTCGTTTCCTTCGAAAAGCTCTCTGCGTCGAGAGAGTTAGCAGAGTGGAGCTTTTTTAATTTTCGCATTGACACGAAAATTGATGGGTTAAACATTCATGGTATATACGATATATTGTCAATTTGGGCGTTACTTTAATGAGGTTGAGCGTCAGCAGTGTATTATATTGCTCAGCTAGGCCACACACAGCCAGACTCAATGACGATAATGAAGCATATACAGCAGGCCTCTTGACACATTATATAGCTGTGCTAGCTAGTCGTACTTGGGCGCACATATAGTGGACTATTCAGGGCTTAGCAAGTCCGTAGCCCGTAGCTTGTACACAAACTATGTATATATGTGTAGGCTTGCATATATAACAACTATAAACTAAAGCATCAGTGGGAGCTCGGGCTTGGCAGCTCATGCGTTGCTGCTGCTGCTGCTGCTGCTGCTGCGAGGAGGCAAACGCACGAGGAGGAGCAGGAGTAGACGCGCGCGGTGGCCAACAGTTTCGTCCCTCGTACAATATGTGTGTAGTCCGTGTAATCCTCACGGATACCGCAAACATGTAATCAACACTTGCTCTCCAGTGTGTTCGTCCGTCCGTGTGCTGCTAGTGCCTCTATAGCCTCGTACATATAAAGCTGCATGCAACAAGCTCGGTCGCGCGTCTACCTACTCCTGCATCTGCTATTACGCTTCGACCTATAGCAGCAGCACACGATACACGTACACACCCACGCACACATCTATCTTCTCTCTCTCTCTCTCTCTACATATATGCATGTCTCTGCGTGTACGTCCTGCTGCTCTGCGGACTATTGTGTACTCGCAAACTCTAGTCTTTGATCGTACACGTGCGGCGCTTCTGCAGAGCCGCATGCTGCGCGCGGGTGAGGATGAGTGACTTGGCTCGAATGGCTCTCCCTCTCTTTGGCACTGCACACTGACGTACTACATAGGCAAATTGAATTTGAATCTCAACGTAAACTCTTGATTGCGTCATGCTTACACGCGCCTATACAGCCCAATGAGTGTATGTGTGAGTAAATACCAAATGATTGAAACTTTTGTGCGAGTTTCTACGACGTTCTCTGCATATTGATCTTCGAGCCAAAGAATTCGAGATATTATTTCTCGTTGCATTTATAGGTGCAGCACGTAGATTGTCAGAATTTGACGATGCGGACGTCGACATTGACGATCCTACGAGCTCGTGAATTATGAGTCTCTCGACGATACATCCCGCGCGAGCGGATCCAACACGTACACATGCATGGAGACGACGCATCGTCCATGGCGCCAGCAGCCCTTAGCCATTTCGAATTCGTTACTTATTGATTAGGGAACGCGCCACCGCTGCTTAGAAATGCCAATTCCCAATGTTCTTGTCTAGTTCTGTGCGGACACTCTAATTTAGTTATAAAATCCAATGTATAGCCTTCTGTGCGTCTACACACAAACACGTACTGGAAGCATATACGCAACTTTTCCTCTTGATTCTATTGTGCCGCTTTTTGTCGATCTCGGCATTTATATTCGCACGTACTAGATGAAATATCGTGTGCAACTTTACAACTGTTTTTACTCAAACAACTGTTGAAAAAACAAGGAAATGATTTTGGCATGCACTCGACTTTGCGTTCGTATCATCGTCATTGATCTGTATAAAATTAAAAAATCAACACTTCGAAGAAATTTCTTTGTAAAAGCTGAGATTTTTCGACTCGCGTCAACGTCGTCATCCAAGTCTTGGGCAAAAAAAGTGGAGCACGTATGGAATACAGCAGCAGCTCAAGTTGCAATTTTATCTGCCTCGCGGCTTCTCCATTTCTCTCTTTCTCTTCTTTATTATGCAGCATATATAAACAGCTGTACAAGGAATTGATTCGATCGAACATGCAGAGCCCGATAAATCGTTGCGCCGATCCGCTTCTTCGTTCCCTCTCGTTCTCGTGTAATTATATCACATATACCTCTGAACACGCGTCTCTGGATCATGCATGCCGACTTTACGTTCAACGGACCCAGAAACTTCTTGCTTTTTTTCGCCAATTTTTTATGTTCAGCTTTGTTGGCTCTTTCTTATATGCCGGAGCGAAGCTTTTATTTTTTATAGTTGGACGTTGACCGCGAACGCGTGATTTAACATTTATTATACTCGTTTGTCGCATATTTGCATATTGAGTTCAAAGAAAGCAAAAAATTGAATAATATAATTGTCGACTCGTAAATTGACTTGAGAAATAAAATGCAATCACTCAATTTCGTGTTAGAAATTCATGGGTATATTAAATCGACATCCGTTGCGTTCACCAAGAGGCTAACTTGAGTATACTTGCACATAGAGTCGTTTTAATTGGCTCAGTCGACTGCAGCGCAGTAGCAGCGGCAACAGCAACGCGTGACTGCTGTCCGCGTGTATATGCCGACTTAGCGCGTGCGCACTATGTACGCATATAATTGCATTACTCGATCCGTGGCTATTTTAATTATCAAAATTAGACGTGTCGATAAAATACACGCGCTAGTACACGCCGATTTACGCGTACATTTCGCAATGTAGATCGCACGCGTGGGCCCCGAGTAAGCAGGATTTGTTTGGCTTTTCGTGATTTATCGATAGAAAAAACTTTTCTCTCGCTCTCTCGCGGCTTTTCGAGCGTTTTTATCGACGCCGCTCGTTGTTCAAACACGAGGTAAATGGAGTAGAAAAATTATAATTACGTTGTGAAATGTACCAATTGAAAATTTGTTTGCTTGGCTTGCCTCGGCACATTTGTCGCTTAGTGATTGACAAATAATGTCGTGTTTATTAAAAAGATAACGCGTTTGTGAGTTAAGTGGGTGTGCGGTGTATGTACATGTGTGTGCATAGCCTATAATAAAATAAAAATCGACCTTTATACACCCCGCAGTCGTCATTCATAATTTTGCATTTTTAGTACTTGAACAAAAAAAAAAGAAGTAATTGAGTTGAGCGTAGATTGTGTGCCACGTACACCGGCACACTTGTGTAATTATTTATACAGTTATTATCTTTCTCTCTCTCTTTCTCTCTCGCGTGCGAACGCAAATGTCTTAAAAACCAATGGAATAAGCTAATGAGGTTGAAGGCACGTAATAAATTCTCATAGCCTGCGAGAGAAAGAGAGAGATATAGAGATAGAGAGGGGAGAAAAGTCAAACAAGTCGAATTAGCGCACAGTTTATCCAATCGCGAAACTTTTGTAATTACCAGCTGTTGTTGGTCGACGGGGATATATCTCGCTCATTTGAAATACCAGCCGTGGCCAGAAATGTTTTCTCGTACGCGCTTGTATCGCAATCTAAACGCGTGTATATATACAGCTCCTCGGCGAGGCACAGTGCGCCGCACGTGCAATAAATTCGCGGATTAATTTCTCCTCGCCGCGCTCGAGGCAGCAGCAGCGATTGATCTGCCCAGAGAAAACCGGTATACACGTAGCAATGTACAGCAGCAGCAGCAGCCTCGCACGCTACGGCAAATGACTTTTTTCACGCCTTCTAAGTACAAAAATGCGCCTGCCGCGCGTATACAGCGCAAAAAAGAAATCGCGCTCCTCTTCGTTCTCGCGCACACTTACGTCATTTTGTATAATTAAATTTTATTTACGATCGATGATTATTCAAAGTGCCTGCTAAATCCGATTATAAGCTTCCATCCACCGCGAGAGATGTGTTTAACGTTAATGGCGGATTATAATATACGCGTAAGAGGACGAGCGAGCATCGCCGCAGGAGACGATTAGAACGAGTAAAAAAGGTTCTGAGATCCTTTTAATTTTATAATACGCCAAGATCGATTTTCCGTGTTATAAAAAGCGACGATTTTGCGCTACTCGAGTGCAAACGTACGAGCCATATTCCTCGTAGAATGATTCTTTCTCGTACTGCTGTAACTGGCGATTCCATATTTGTCAGAGATTTGCGTGTTAATACCGTCCCGACGAACTTATTTATCTCCAGGTTATCCGTATAAATAATCTCAAGCTGACGTCTGACTAATATACAAAATACAAGATTATGCGTATCTTATTCTTTCCTTTTGATATGCTTTCTTGTAATTGAGACTAATTTTTTTGTTCTATCTATTTCCAGGTACCACAACAGCCTAGCCAGCCGTTCAAATTTACCATTCTTGAATCCTGCGACAGGATTAAGGAGGAATTCGGCTTTTTACAAGCCCAGTATCACAGGTGAGTTTATGAATTTACCTTAATCATTAAAGAAGTGTAAACTAAATTGAAGCGTTAAGCGATTGAACGCGTATACGAATTCCAAACGGTGACAAAGCAAGATTTTATAATCGTTATGCCGCGAGTAAGCTCATTATTTGATTTTTGCTTTCGTGATTTATTGGCTCTCTCGAGCCTCTAAGAAACTTTCTCAAGCGTAATTGCAACTCGATCCTCGAGATAATCTGCAATTTTATTCTTGAAAAATGAATCAAAAGAATTCGAGCTTTTTTGTAATAAGCTCGTCTCTCTCTCTCTCACACTCTCTTGCCGCCACCGCAGCGAATAACTTGTTTTCGTGAAATTCTGGGTCGAGAAACCACAAGTATTCCTCATTATGCCTGTACACACATACAATATATATGTGTGCAGCAGCACATGTACACGCGCACGCTCGGCGCGTAAAGGCAACATTATAAAACTCGTCGGCGAGATACCTAGACGCGCTGCAGCTTTAACTCGACAGTAAAAAGCGTGTGTATTCGTTGTTTTGAAATTGCGAAATGCAAACGTGTAGAGCTCGAGAGGCCAAATACAGGATCAATTTTTTCAACTCGAGCTGCGTGTAAAAAAAGAGAATCACTTCGTGCGGTTTGCGCGTTGGGCACAGCAGCAAAAAAAGAAGAAAATGTTTTTCTAATCTTTTTAACCGCGTTAGCATGCAAAGCTTGGCCACGTACATGTATGTATGTGTGCGCGCGCGAGCTGGTTGGTACGTTCGCGATCGTAAATTTTACGGCCTCTGCGGGTACGTGCATATACACCGCGCGTGTGTTACGCGTACGTGAGATATGTTTGTGTAAAATTGAACGTATATATTCGCTCTCACTCTCTCGCGTCGTAAATTTATATCGCTTATATTCATTAGCGTTGTAGGCAACGAGATATAGCTCCGCGCAGCTGCACACAGTTTATGCATTTTTACATGTTATCTGATAATTACTCGATACAAAAAAAAGCATCACCCATTTTATGTGTGCGTGTATGTGTATACACGCCTCGTGTCGTGTCTCTCTCTGTCTCAGTCTCGGTCTTTCCTTTTTTTCTGCTCTCGATGATAACAAGTATATTTTAGAGATAAGATTTTTAATCTTTTGTCAACTATAAACGTTAATTGCATAACTAATCAAGTAAATACTCTCGATATCTCTTTCACGAGAGGAGCTCTGAATACAATTGTCACGCGCTCGTCTTCGTGCCTTTTTGTACAAACATTTGCATGAATTTAAGCTATGCTGCTCTTCATCTCTGAGGTAGATATTGCGCGAGTTTTCGTGAGGAAAGAAAGAGAGAGAGAGAGAGAGAGAGAGAGAGAGAGAGAGAAAGAAAGATAAAAATATACATGCCAATCATAAACATGCTGTTTGATCGTGTTCTTTACATTTTCAAGTAAAAATTCCTTGATACTATCTTTCAAAACACTTCCGAAATGTACTCTTCTCGTGTGTGTATGATATACATGACAAAAAACCGTTAAGCCTTATTATTATTTTATGTGCAGTTAAAATATCGAGCCAAGGCAAGTAATAGATCAAAAAAGGCATCGTTTATTGAGATAAAAATTGTTTAAATTATTCCACGTTTATCGAGTATATACAGATAAAGACTATAGTTATTTTTATAACGAGCCAAATGCAATAAGCCAGGCTGATTTATCATAATTTAAATTTATTTGCATAAGCATTGAAAGAAATGAGCTTGCGCTCGCGCGCGAACGAGCCAACGAGCCGGCGCACGTCTCTCCGCCTGCTTTAAAGTTGGTATAGAAAAATAAACGGGCCAGAGGCCGGGGCAGCTACTCGCAGGCTATAAAAATCTCATACGCCGTCTCGGTACGTTGACCCTGTTGAATAATCAACGAGCGCGTGTATATTATCAAATCTATCGATTCGGTAGCGAGATACACGTCCAGTTTTAATACTCGGCTCCGTATAGATCCGAGGCGCACGTATAATAATACTTGCGCGAGGCTAAAAAGGTGAGCGGCTTTATACTTACGTAAAAAGCCCCGCGGAGAGTTTATCATTCGTCTAAAGACAAAAGCTGCGGACTCGTTGAAATATTCAAACGGCGGCGCATATTCTATTCTCTCTTCCGCGTTTATAGAGTAGACCGTATATGACCAAGCCGTGTGCGGTTGATCATTTTACGATACAGCATAAACATGGCCGCTATTTTCGTCTCCGTCGAGCGTATCAACTATCGTGTCAAGAAATTTTATTCATACAATGTTGGAAAAAGTCAGCCGCGTTATTACATCGTCATTATGCATGTATACGAAAAGTTGAAGCGGTAGCAGCAGCGGCGGCAGCGGCAGTTTCCGCGCGCATAGCCAATTAATTCGCGGATATATCAATCTTTCAAAACTTTCGGATGCGTCGTAGTCGTCGTCGAGCTCGTGTTCATGCGTTCGTACGTGCGCTCGCTCGAGCAGCTAAGGTCCGAAAATAGTTTGGACTCGGGCCAGAACTTTTGCATACGTTTCTGGCACTGCTGTTTATACCCACAAATATACTTAAATATTGCATGTGTTTTATGTTGCAGCATGAAAATGGAGTGTGAGAAACTAGCGCAAGACCGGTTGGAAACACACAGACACTATGTCATGGTAAGATAAAATTTAACGAGTTATATATTCACTTCTTTTTTGCTTACTTTATACTGTCGCCAATATATAGAAGCTTATACCGCTAATCTTCCAAGCTTATTTTTCCATCTTATTTCTTCACGACTCTCGAGCCGAGTGAACGAAATAATTTACTTGACTCGCAGAGAGAGATCTGTCTCTTAGCGCTGCCTCGGTGTATATCATTTGATATTCACAATTTTTCAACTCTAGTTCGTTTGAATTATTTCGAACATTACGTTGACACGCAGATTAACCGACGATACGCCACAGAGTATACTTTGTTCGCCTATAATATTGCGTATAGAGAGAAAAAAAGGAAGTCACCAGAACATCGAAATTATTTCCTGCGTTCTCATCGTCAATTTCTCAAAAGCAAAACAACATTGTACGAGGTTCGATAATTATCTGCTGCTCGGTATTTATAACATAATTCGATGACTGGCATCTGTTTTTACGACGCTGGCAAAAATCGACCCACATAAACGTGCGCGCCAACACACACGTTCAATTACATTTTGTGTTGAATGTGTGTGAGCGAGTCTGTATATATGAATTTATACTTGTGTCACGTTTACGATAATAGGCTGAGCGAGAGAGAGCCAACCGCAATGTACGCGAACAACTGTCTCGGGTTCTTTACCATGTAATTGCATCCTCCTTATAAACCTCTCTCTCTCTCCTTCTCTCAATCCTCTTGGGAATTTCTTGCTAGCCTCGACTTCCGAGTTATTATCTTTCTCTCTCTCTCTCTCTTTCTCTCCTTGACGCAAGGCGGGAAAGCTAATTATACAATGAGAAAACTTCAACATTGCGCTCCGTGCTATCACAAACTCAATGTTGCATAAAAATGCCTCCACCTTTTTTTAACTTTTCCCGCGCGGTTAGACGCGAAGTTCTGGTTGACAGAAATGTATGAGAAGTAAAAAGGCGAGTTTCGCTAGCGCGCGCGTATACATCGTAAAAAGCACAAATTAACGTTAACTCGAGGAAATTAATTCTTATCCTCGGCTCGCTGGCGAATTAACGATATTCCGAGCGTCGTCGTAACTTCTTCATCGGTCCTGTGCGCATCGTGCGCACATAACGTACTCGTACGCATGTGCCTGGTATACGATTAATAAAGACTAATGGAGAAATTGCACGATATGTAAACTACCGTATACGCGCCGGTATATTTACGGTTTATACACACGAGCAGACAAAACTACGGTCCGCCGCAATAATTACAAAATTATCCGCTTGTATATAATATGTCGAAAGCTACGTCGTGCGGCCTGCGTGCATTTAATGGCTTCTCCAGTAGTAACAATCAATCTTCGCCATTCAGTTTGGCACGTTAATTTACGCGTGCGTCCTCCTTTGCTGCAGTGTGACGAGAAATGCATCATCATGATCGTCCAAGTCGTCGTCGTCGTCGTCGTTGCCGTCGCCGCCACATGTGTAATAAGATCCATTCGATCGATCAACGCGAAAACGAGTTTTGATTTTTTTTCTCTCTCGTCGTTGCCTGTGCAGTGGCGGTAGCCGAGCTCTCGACTGCGGGAATTATTTATTGCAATTACAAGATCTCCTCGCGAATATGTCTCTCTTTCTCTCGTTATGTGCCGTGTGCGCGCAGCTCGCGTGTTTATTGAGATCTCAAATTGATTCTTGTTAATACTTGATTGGTTTACATAATGCTCGACGCAGCAGCTGCGTACATATAAGCAATAAACGCCGCTAGATAAAAATCTTTGTTTGTTGAGAAACCGAAGGAGACGAAGAAAAATTGTTTTTGCCGCGCATACAAATTACTCGGCTAATAAGCTCGTCCGCCTTTATAATATAGGCGAGAGCGGCTGCGCCTGTATATTTATATCGATTATATTATCGCGAAATATCTAATTCTGTATAATAAATAATCGATCGCGTCGTTGCAGGCTTTTCCTCTATATATCTAATAAAATAGCTCCGGCGCGAGAGAAACAGCGGTAATAAGAGCTTCATCGTTCATTGCCACGGCGCGCGCAACTTTGCGCTCGAGCTCGAGCTCGAGAGATTAAAACGCGTTTCCATGAATATATACATGTATATATCTGCGCTCGCAAAAGAGAGAGAGAGAACTGAGAAATTTCCCGCACGCGATTTAATTGACGCGACTAGTTTAAATGCGATTAATCAAGATGCCGCGCGCTAGTTGTTACGTCGGTATTAGTAGCTCCTCTCCAGTAGTAGTAGTAGTAGAAGTAGTAGTAGTAGTAGTAGCGCAAGCTGTCTCGATGGACTTGAAGATTTATCGGGCTCGACTGTTCGCGCGCGCGCGGCTATATCGTGAGCAGATTAAACTCAATCGCCTCGACTACTTTACACGCTTTAGGAGTAACCGACACTTGTACGTATTTTCTTGCTTTATCGGCCAGGCAGAGCTTGGAGAGTTTTGTGAATTGCCGTTCCACCGCCCGTACACGTCCAAGTGTAAACATGCTCGCGGACTTTTTCATTTAATTTTCGAATCTCCACTCGAATTGTTTACGTGTTTTGTAACTATCAATCATTTTTGTCTTGGTACTTAAGGCACTCGATTGATTTACAGTACATCCTTGAAAAATAAACTGCTTCTTTCCCTCTTCCTCTCGGACTAGCTTTAATTTTTTTCATTAAAATTTATTGCTATATTATTAAAATGAAGATTTCATTGAATAAAACTGAATTAACACGTATGTCTTTCTGTTGCAGTACTACGAGATGTCATACGGTCTCAACGTCGAGATGCACAAACAGGTAACTATCTCCGGTCAAATACCGAGCCACGTAGCTAAAGAAAAAAAAAGAACAATGCAAGAGAGAGAGAGAGAGAGAGAGACGCGCACGAGTCGTAATAGCGCACACCAAGTAGAGAGCACCGTGGTGTATGTGTGCACACGAGATTGCCCCTTTACTCGCTGCGCGCGGAGCTGAGCACACACGAAGCGAAGCGCAAAAATGAGCAGAGAAAATGCGCTGCTGCTGCTGCTGCTCGAGAGCCTCGCGTTTATATAGATATATAACATGCATTACATATACTTGCCATGGCGGTGGAGGCAGGGTCACGCTCGCTCGAGCGCGAACGATAAGAACGTCGCCGGCTCGTCGATTACTGGCTTGCATAAAATACAGACTACGCCAACCGGCATGCCAGTAACAGTAGCTAACGCGCATAATTTGATTTCCGTGTATAATGCACCCGTGCGCACGTCCCTCTCTTTTATTTCTTTCTCTCTTTTTCTGTATATAAATCGCGCAATTTATAGAAATGACGACGCGTGAAAGTTGATGCTACTGCGAGATTAAAGCTCTCAATGTCTTTTGTTATTGTCTCTGAATTAATGCGTGCGAACGTACTTGTGAACGATAAAAACATAATCTACACTGTTTCTCCTCGTGCATATATTTGTAATTTTGCTCGTTACTCCTCCGAGGCACAAAGCCAAAAGTAATCTGCACGAGGGAATTAAAGATTTTCTCGTTCCAGTTAAGACTTAAGTGGCATATTTTGCTTCCCTCTGTCTCATTTCAACGCTACTAATAATGCGACGAAGCCAACTCGTAGAAGAGCTTTTCAGTGCCAAAAATCATGCAGCTAATGATAACAGCTGAGAAATGAATGGTTATTATTTTCGCTCGTGAATCTCTACAGATTAACTTACCAGTTCAAATTTATTTTCTCCGACGTATACGTGAGCTTTAAATATCGATCAGAGTGGACATAGGAAATTTTTCTTTACCCATCTTCAAACAAAACTGATTTACACGAACGAGTTATTATTTCGATGACAATAATTTGGAGGATCGATCAAAATAAACATTTGTTTTGCTCCAATTATGAAATTAATCACGCATGTGCGATCGTTTGTGTGCACACGTTACTCTCTTTTGCTTGACTTGAAATATACAAGCTTTTTATCTGCTTGTGTCATTTTCTTTGATGATTCAAACAGAAAACTTTTCATCTTCTGTTAATCCTCTCTCGTAAATATGCGCAAGCACGCGGGAATCTCTTTGGCAAGGCTCCAAAATTTAAGGTCAATTTGTCCTTTCGTATCTTTTCTTCGAACGTGTTTGAACTGGCGCCTCGACAAAATGCTCCTACAGTTTTTCTTTGCTCGTAGCAGCTCTGGGTAAATTACATGTATATTATTTTTGGTTACTCTTACTCATTTGTTTCTTTTTTTCCTATCCTCGTTTTATTTTTTTATATCAGGCGCTTTGCACTGCGCATTTAAAGCTAAAAACACGGTCTATTATTACAATTTTACCACTTCGGAGAGCAGTCACGGGTCGTTATCCCAAGCGCCGTATGGGGCCGCGTTGTAAGAAAAGCACACACTGAGAGAGCTCAAAAGTCGAGTACGTACAATGCGCGGGTGAATGTTAGCTGCAGATCACGTTTTAATACGTGTCGTATGTATAATTGTAAACTGGAAAATACGGACGGCTAAAAATGACTCTTTCAGTTTTTTGCAGTTCGTACTTGTTCTATGACTGTGTTTACAAAAAAATTATTTAATTCAACGGTTTTTTCAAAGAAACTCACGAGCATAGAATTTAATCCTGTCGCACTATGCAACATGGAGTATTTATTCTCCCAATTATTACTCGTTGACTCATTACTCGTATATTTTTTAATTACATTCTTTTTTTCAAAATGTTGATTAGTGGTGTATTGTTGTAAAAAAAAGAACGAGCTAAGTTTAGTTTCCACACTCGCTCACGATGATTTACACTCGAGCTTCTTCATTTTCTTTAGCTGCTTTGTTCCATCTTATCTTTCCGAAAATGTTTGTCGATGACTTTAGGTGCTTCGATTTTATTTTTTTATTTTTACCGCTTCGTTGAATAAATATTAAAAGGCTCTAACCATTGTGTGTTTTTGTGCGCGTATATTTGTGTGCTCCAACGATGGGATATGACTCAATTGTAAAATGTTAGTGAACTCAACTACTGTCGTCGACTCGTATTATGCTTTCATAAGTTGAATAAACTATTCCTTTTCTTGCTTATAAAATAAACATTCGGGAATGTGTAATTTTAGAACCTAGAAAGACCAAACATCAATCATATTTGTTTAGTATAAACCATTTTAGCGGAGAAAAAGAGTTGTTTTACTATAGAGAGAAAGAGAGAAAAAAAGACGGTACAGCTCGTAAACTAATAATAATTTTTGCGCAGTGATACTAAAAAAAGAAGCGTTTGTGCACTTATCGTTTTACTCAGTACATGCGCACGAGGGTCGTATAAATAAAAAAATAATAATTCCGAAAAAGGCACGTACTCACGGCACCGCGTGCGTGTATAAGGCCACGTTTCATAGCTATAAAATTGCCAAAAAAAGAACGTGACTGCGTGTGTATAACGAAATGAAATAACGTCGAAAAAACGCGTGTGTGTGCAAACGCGAGGCTTACGTTGACAAGAAGCGTTAACGCCTCGCGAGCGCAAGTGCGAGCAAACATCGCGCTGCGCTGCCTCGCTTTTGTATGTGAAAAAAAAAATGATTTAAAGTGGGTCGCAGCAGCTCTCGTCGTCACGGCTGGCATGAAATATAATTTTTTTTTTGTTTATCGTGCGCTACATGTGCGTATATAAAAATTCTCAACTCGATGTACCGCTCACGATAAAAAGAGCATATTTATTGCACACGTGATTGGGATGTTTTTCGATTGATTAAATTATTAACTGCCAACTGCGGGTACTCGTGTATTATATCGGCATCACGTATCATCGAGCAAGCTAAATTTTTGTAACAACAGAAAAAGAACGACTTCCCAAAGCGAAAAATCATACACGATGTTAAGTTTGTAAAAATAAACTCGTTCCGTGCAGCAGCGCAGACGAGCTCAAATGTGCTGTAAGCGCGTGAGAAGCACTTGCGCATTGCCTCGACATCCGCAAAGCGGATTGCTCTTAGTGTGACTTGGACATATATATAGCAGATGTATATATGCACAACACAGCAAAATACAATCCGGTTGGTTTATTTGTATAGCTTCACAGAGGCACGGCTTGGCTTTTGCATTAACTAGTCGTCGCGCGCGCGCCTGCGAGCTTTCGTAATATAAAATCGATACGTCCGCTTCGGGTCCGTCGTTTTGATAAAATATTCACGAATTCATTGTGTAGGTACGATGTAAACCAGCCAATTGTCGATTTATGTACAAACCGGAAATGCGGCCGGTACATGTGCACTCTAACTCTTTTATCGAGCCCTCTCTCTCTCTCTCTCTCTCTCTCTCTGACGTCAGGTCCGGAAAAAAGCGCTAATGCGTGTTAGGAATTGTTACGAGATAAGAGGAAGCCCTGCATCCTAATGATGCGCGATACACGATGTGTGCGCGCGAGAGGTACACAGGCCTTTTGTGTTCGAAACGGATGAGGAGCACTTATTAGATTAGCGTTAAAGTGGATTATTAACTCGTTATAAGCAAAAAATGTACGGCGAGCAAAAATATATTTTTCTTGTTTACTTTCAGACGGAGATATCGAAAAGATTGAACGCCATCATACTGCAAATCATGCCATTTTTGTCCCAAGAGCACCAGCAGCAAGTCCACACCGCCGTTGAAAGAGCAAAGCAAGTCACCATGGCAGAGCTCAACTCCATCGTCGGGGTAAGTTGAAAATTTATTTATATCAAATCAATGAATATATGTATCGAGCTTGTGTCATTGTCCTGTACATGCAACTCGACGTTATTTTATAATAAATTTACGAATCGACGCTTTATGTCGTCGACGGAGCTTTCATCAAGTATAATCGTCGGCTTCCGCAGTATAAGTACGAGTCACGCCGCGGCTGTAAATATATTTATATGTGTGCCAGCGGTGCTTCATGAAACATTCATTTTATTCGCATGAGCGGCTCGTATATTATAAGCCAACAGCCACCTTCGTATTAAGTTTATTAAAGTGTGAAAAATACATACGCGTACAGCAAATAGTTGAATTTTGTCGAAATTTCTGCGGGCCGAAACGATACGGGGTGAAAAAAAAAACACGAAGCAAAGTAGCCGCGACTTCAGACATTACAAGAGGTTACACAAAACGTGCACAATGTACATACGAGTGTAAATAGGTAGAATGTAAAATTTCCAGCCGTTATTGTTACGTCACTTACACGGGGCTCATTCATATTCGCGTGCTAAAGACTCGAGGTGTAGTTCAATACTCGTACACACTTGATTACACTCGAGCTAAATAGAAGCGTTTTATAATGTACATCGTATATGACGTGTTGTATTTCTGAAAAAGTCTCGTGCTATAGTCATGATACATATATTATAATGACTGCCGAGACTCGTAGCGTATGCATATTGTGTGGCGCGTCGAGGGCAAAAACACGTGATGCATTCATTCATGGACATGTACACTTACTCGTCGTCGTGGTACGGTCGTGTGCAGCAGCAGCAGCAGCAGCAGCAGCAGCAGCAGTAATAGTGGCAGCAGCGAAAAAGAGAAGTAGGTAGCTGCAGAGAGAGTAGCAGCTGTTAGCCTATCCCTGCGCGCACCCTCGTCAACTTCGCCCACTTATTTCGCAGTCGGCGAGCGAGCGACGGCTGCTACTGCTGCTAAATTGGCTTTCGTCTGTTGCCTCCCTCCCTCCCCCCGTAACCCACTCAGTTTGTGCATAATTGAGTTTCTAGTTGCCGCGCGCTGTGACTGCTTCTCCACTGCCTCTCTGCGCGACTACTACTGCCACTACTACTACTACTACTACTGCTCACTTGCACCGCTTGCGCGCGTCTCGAATAATTCCGCCTTCTTTCCCTTCCTATAGGATATAATATAGCTATATGACTCTCGTGGCCTCTTTTGCGAGCGACTCGAGCTGCTGCCTATATATATACACTCGTCTCATTGGACTTTGACTGGCTGCAGCGCGCACAATGCGCGACCGCGATTCATTCGACTTTTCGAAATGTCGAGCATTTTCATTGGATTACATGCTTTTGCAGCTCGCTCGTGGCTGCCAAGTATGCGCTCGCGAGCCGGTTCATCTGAATATGCATAAAAAGTGCCGAGCGCTGACTCGAAAAGTGACGCGACACTTATTGTTTCTCGAGTTACGTTCTCTGAAACGAGGTGTTATGTTTTTTCTCTCATTCGTTCGTTCGTCGTCGCCGAGTCGTATATCTGAATTCATCAACCGGCTGCGTCGGCGCGCCTGGTCGTCGTCGTTACGCTATTATTTCTGCGTATCGTAATGATCGCTAATGACTGTATTAAGCGAGCGTGCCAAGAGTGTTATATACAAGCCTGCAGAGGTGTTTTATCTTTCTGCGCGCACCACACGCGCATTATTGCTGAGAATTACGACATTTTCGCATTATAATTAACGAGGCGAGGAAAAAATGTTTATTCTAGTGGTAAACGATTGTGATTGATCGGTATCAGGTGGATCTGTACTCGCGATTCTCACGGATTCTGCCGAGTTGCATATTTGAGGTAGACTTGATCAAATTGCGTGTGGCCCGAGAATCTGCACTTTATTCTAGCAACTACTGCAAATTCCTAAAGCATCGATTGTTAATTTTAATCGATACAATAGACTCGACATTTTTACCCTCGCTGCATTCACAATGTCCTTTTCACTTTTGTCAAAGAGGCCTCGCGTGCTCGAGCGACTATCGATTTCATTACTTTGTACAGTTTACAAGCCTCGATCATCCCCAATCTCGCGTTATCGTTCCCCCTCGTGTGTAATACCACACCTTTCAAAGCCCGTTGTATTTTATCGCAGATCTTGTTTCCTCTTCTCGGTATTACGCACACGAGCACTTTACTTTCTTCCTTGGCGAGCCAGCAATTATTTCTTTGACGCTTTTTTCTTTTGATCCCTTTTTTATTCTCGGACAACTATGCGATTGAACGATCGATCTATCGAGCAGCCAAAGAAATGTAAGAGTAGATGTAGATACAGTTATAGATGCAATAAATATGCTTAAGAGCTTTGTTCGAATGAACGAAAACTATCGCAAAGCAACATTAATTATTCTGATCAATTTTACTTACTCGAGCAATGCGCATGCACCCACGTATACAACGGAACACAAAGTCTAAAAAGCACTTGTGATTCGGCGCACGAAACGCCGAACTTCTACCCACACTGGCGCGCGAGAAATTGAAACATCAGCGCAAATATAGCGTACATACAGAGTCACGGGTCCACTCAAGCATATAGACAGCGGAAGCCGAGAAAAAGTTTTCTCTCCTGCACGAGAAGGCGCGCAATCGGTGCTCCAGCAGCAGCGTGTACGTATACGTACAGAATAGCCTGTGCACGTAAAGCAACGTCACCGTTACTTTTTCGCGCGAAAAAAGAAGCAGACAAAAAGCACAAGCCGCAGCAGCAACAGCAGCAGCAGCATCAGCTCGTAGATTTTCGTGTTGCAGGCGTAGCAGCGTACATATATATAGCTTCGGAGTTTACGAGCCTCGAGTTTGGCCCTGTGCTGCGCGCGTGTGTGCATTCGACACGAGCTGCTGTTCGTCGAGAATACCTAATGCGCAGCACGGAGCTCGTCGGAAACTAAGTCTTCCTCCCTTGTTCGAAAAATCAATCTGCGCTCTCTGCTTTTTCCAAAGGCGAGCCAAAAAAAGCAACTCGGTAAAATGATCCATCCGTCAGTTATTCGGCCAGACGACGCAGACGATCATCGGGGCGCTCCCCTCAATCGTTAATTCGACACTTGGCTTTTTAACGAGTGCACCTCGGTCGTGCGTAATAAATCATTACCCCATCGAAATCACAACACACAAAAGCCCCGCAATTGCTCGAAATGTCCAAATGGACTGTTGCTGGGTGTATACAGTGCAGCAGCAGCAACAGCAATACGTACCCTATCGCGTGCAGATCGATTCTCGTAAAATCTGCCATAAAATTCTTTAGCCCCCTCACCGCGTGAAAACGGCCCACTGCGTCGTAAATTATATGTATGTATCTCTCTCTCTTTGGAAACGCGCGCATATAACCAGTCGCATCGAGGCGTGAAGACCCGTACTAACTTCGCTTTTAATGTTTATCGTTTAGTTTGGAAATCTGCATGAGAGATTTAGGGTGAACTATAGGGTGTAACTGAGTCGGATTAAAATGACAACTGTTCCATTCTGTGTGTGTGGACGCATACGTATATGCTAGGTACAGTGTATAATACAAGCGCCGCGCCACCATTCGAGGGGTTGAATTTAATCCGAGATAGAGCAGCAGCTGCAGTAAGAGAATAGCCGTGTCATTATCATGAGTAGACGATCGCGCACTCATTGAGACTAGGTCATGCATGCAATGCAAATAATTAGGCTATTACGGCTCTTTTTCCACTGTCGACCGCCCGTGTACCTTCTGGATAAACAGAAAATAAAAAATGTTTTTTTTCCTCTTACACGAATTTGCAGTGAAAAATGCGCCGAGGCAGAGAGGAGGGATTATTTATTGGACTTGTAGCGGCAGGCAAGCGCGCTCGTGCACAACACGCTCTTGAAAAGTTTTGGCGCCTGCCGCCGCCTCGTTTCTGCATAATTAGGAGCCGCAAAAGCAAGGCGAAAAAGCCCGAGCTTATTAATAAGTCCGACGATAGTCGACGCGAAATCCTATATGCATGCGGACATGGCCCACACATGTGTCTGCGTGCATACTCGCAGCAGTGTGCCCCATCCCACCTACCCCCGTCATCGTCATCCACACTCGTGTGCATTATCACTTCGTATATTTATTTACGTACACGAGTATACACGCGAGCTTTTATATTCATTGTGCACATGCGCGAGCGAAGAGGCAAAGTGGAAAAAAACAACGGCGGGACTCTCTCGTATGTACATGTGGCTTAGTGCTCTCCCTAATATTACACCGAAAAGTGTACAATAAGCCACCCCACACGCATACGCGTACATACACAGGCTGCCTTTGACCCCATACCAACGCGTCTGGAGCATTAATTTTGTACGCGCTCCCTTTCCTTTCATGCGTGTATATCTGTGTGTATATATGTACGCATTATTCCGTTTAAAATGTATATGTTAACACGTGTGCGAGTCCCGCGCGATATGTCTTTTGCACGCGGCTTTTTTCGGCTGCTTGTTGTTCCTTTTCAAAGTATAAGATTTTGGCTTTGCGTACAACCCCTCGGGCAGTACGGAAACGGCCAATTGCTTACCAAATTCAAACCTCACAATCGAATGTCGGCTATCTGCTTTTTGAATTGCCTTTTAATTTTATGTATATTTTTATGGTTTACAGCAGCAACGCCCCCCCGATATGTCACGACTGCTGCAACAGATGTCGGTCCAGCACTTGCCTCCCGGTGCTGCATTAGGTCCACATCCAGGCCTGCCAGGCTTACCTGCCCTCGGACCCGGTGGTGGTCTCCCAGTACCGACTTCGGCGGCGTCTCTTATCGGACTCGGAATACCTCCTGGTGCACCGCCGACTCCGTCGAATGCCAACATTCATGCCTCGCCGATACACCCAAAGACCGAAATGACTCACAGAAATAACCAACCGGATGATGCCAAAAGTAACGGAGGTAAGTTTCAATCGAGATAAACTGCAAATATTTGTGAGGATACTAACGGTGCATTAAAAAACGTCAAAATGAGAAGCAATGTCAACTTTAGATATTTAAAAAAATATGAGGATGAAAATTCAGTAGCAATGGTTTTTATTTGCAATCTTTATTTTTGTAATAAGAGACGGTAACAAGCAGTGACTAACGAATATTTTTTTAATAAACGCACTTGTTTTGTGCTCGGTATAAAAACGATTTCGTGCGTGTGCAGATATCCAAATTCACTTCTCAATTTTACACGTGCCTATGCACTCTACTTTCTCTCTTGCAATAATCCCCATTTGCAATTTCGCGTTTTACACCGAATGGAAATAATTAAAATGACCCATTCGTTGATCCCCGGCGTTGTTCTCTCTCTCTCTCTCTCATTTTCCCGCTTTCTCTTTGTTTACACATGATTGCACAATCCGCGCACGCGTGTATTTACGCATGACGATGCGATGAATTCGAAATGCAACGAGAAACGCCATACGCGTGACTCTTTTTTCCAACACTCTTGCCGCGCTGAAAAATAAATCAATAATTGTTGAAAAATCGTGGAGCCGAGGGAACAAAAAAGCGACGTTATATAAACCAATATGTGTGTGCGAGGTGCTACAAAACAAGCTTTTTTCAAACTTCGTAAATTTACACTTTTGGAATTCGGTTATTTCATCAGAATTTTATTGAAATTCGTTTGAATCGAATCGAGAAAAGCGTCGGACGCGTAATTTGAATATCAGAGCTTTCGCCAAAGTCAAAGCGAAATAAACTATGTCGCCAAATATGGAACAAACAATTGATAACCGTGATCCTCATTAATTAAACTTCTCAAATAATTTCTTTATTAAAATAAAGAGAAAAACGAGCGTAGTCGAAAAAACGACGGATTGACTTTTACAGCGCGCGCATATATTACTTGCGTACTCTGTTGTCGCACATTTCTATTGCAAGCGCTCTTTTTTTCGTCGTTGAAACGTCACGCATATACACGCTTACTCGAGCTCTAATTAAAAACTCAGCGCGCAATCAAAGAGCCAAGAAGAGCTTCGCACACACTTCTCTCCCTCTCTCTCTCGCTCTCGTTTTTTTTGCTTGCCAAGGGAGCTCACGTCGCTGCTTTTTACAATAAAAAAAAAGAAGCGAGCTCTGCTTTGAAAAAGCTCGTGCATATACACAGAGAGAAAAAGTGAAAGAGAGAAAGAGAGAGAGAGAGAGAGAGAGAGAGAGAGAGGCTGGGAGGGAAAGAGAGAAGTAACGTTTGATCCCAACCGACGAGAGAATTTTTTTCAAAGGAGAGAAAAGAAGCCGTAAGCAGTAGGTGTGCTACGAACGAGAGAGAAAAATAGAGCAAAAACGAATGTCGAATATACGTGAATATGCATGAGGGATGATCGTTTATGTACCTACCGTAGCTACCGTGGAACTGATGCGTTATTAACATTCTATCGGGTCAGCAGTTATTTCACATTTCGATGTACCTACCCAAGCCTCGCAAATATATTATCTACTTTTTAGCCGCTCACACCGCGGAACTTGGGGGGCTTTGTAGCTTTTACATGATACGCATTGTGTATCATATACTCTCGCTCTCTCGTACATAATAATATATATAACTCGCCAAAACTAATTTTACCACTCTGAATAACATGTTCCTTTTTTTTGTTTGTTCTACAGGACTCAGTTCAGCCGAAGAGAGACACGTGAGTAAACAGAAAATAATATAATTTTACAAACTGATATGTTTCGATGCTGCATGTATACGTTTGCCTCGTTGTCATTTGCGTTTTCTACGACGCACACAGGTGACCGATTTTTTTCTCGTCCCTCGCGAAAATGCTTTATTCGCGTTAGTACAATTGAAATTCTCGCCAATTTCCCTCTTTTTGCGTACCGGAAAAAGAAAAGAGAAGCAAAAATTGTGCCGATTTTTTTGTGTCGTTTTCGTCCAAGTGCGCACGGAGCAGTTTTAAAGGCCGAAATCCATTCTGCAATCTCCAATTAGTCGGTAATTCCTGCGAATCTCAGATATTCTCTCTCTCTCTCTCTCTCTAGCGTGCTGCCCCACGATGGTCTGGTTCATATAGAAGGCAGGGAACAAAAGCACGTGCACGAGATCGCGCGCGCTCGAGCTCTCGAGAGCGCTATAAGAGGAGCAAAAGCGAAGAGCGAAAAAGGTTGTAAGAAAAGAGGAAGAGCATTACGCGGAGGGAGAGAGAGTCTGTAATCATCGCGAACCGCTCGGTTACCGCCCATCGACGCCCTCCTCGCATCTAGTTGGCTATATATATAAAAGCGTGTATAGCCTCGGCTCTTTCCATTTTCTTTTCCTGTGGTCGCAACGGGCGTCCTCGGCTTGCTCTCGCATACCCATACCAGTATGTGTACTATATGCACCAGATACATCCTTTGGTTTTATTTCCAGGTGTGTGGGTTTTTGTACCTCCGAGCGTACAGAGAGCACAGGCCCTATCCTCTGTAATCAGCAAGAGCTCATTGCAAGGATGCTGCGAGTTGAGAGATCGCAGCCTCTGCTTCTCTGTCTGTGCACTTCGTACGCCAGGCCTATCCATTATGCACATTTCTTTCTGTTTGCAGATTCGAATATCGAACGTCCACTCGCTGAGTATCCGGCGCAGTTCATCGAGTTTTCGCAATTTTTACATGTTTCGATGGGTCCAATGTCTCCCGTGTAAATCACGATCGCTTGAAAATCATTTGCGAGTCGATGCACATCGTTGCGAGCGATAAATCAATCAGAGTAATACCTGCAATCATTACAGAGCATTTCTTTCCCCCCAAAATAATCCCCTGACACGATAAATCAATTTCCGTCGTCTTTGTCCGCGCGTATAAATCATCCCCGTATAAATCTCAATTTTCCATCATTAAGCTCTTTTTTAAGCCATTTCTCTCTCTTTCTCTCTCCCTTTCTTGTGCTGTGTCGGCTATCGTCTCTTGTGGTCTGATAATAAACTCGAAAAACCGCACCTTCTTGAAATCATTAACGCGCTCTAGAGCAAAAATCCGTTAAAACCGCTCCTCTTTCAGCCTACATTTACATTCTTATATACACTCGTACGCTCGGCGTATATAGCCAACACATATCTCGTTCAGCACGCCTACAGCATCCTCCGAATTCCATTACGGGCCATTATACTCGCTTGCTCTCTCTCTCTCTCTCTCTCTCTCTTGCCTCGGTCTCTCGAAGCGCGCGCGGCGTGATCGTCCTTTTTTGCGCGCTTCTGCTGAGCGAGGAGTCTTATATTATTATATACTTCTTTGTTTGTTTGTTGTATGTAAGCCTGTTCTGCTCGAATGAAGACGAAGAAAAAAAAATGAAGAGAGAGAAAAGAGAGAAAAGAAACGAGCTCGCAAGGCTTGTTTTCTTCCTCTTTGTTTTGGTCGGCAACGTGGAGCGATATGGTTTCGTATTTTATTTTTTTCCTCTTTTTATTCGTTCCTTTACTCATCAGAAGAAGGAGGAGATTTCGAGTTGCGAGACACGTGTTAACTGCTGTGTTGTGTATATACATAGCCACACACACGTATGATGCACGCATATATATATATATATATATATAATACGTGCACTCGCTGCGAGGGTAACGAATTGAACGTGTTTCAATCCTCGTCTTTTTTTGCGATTTGTTATTCTCGATCCTGGCTGCTGCTGCTCTTGCCGCTATACCCTGCGAAGTCGTATCGATTTTGTACTTGCTCTAGATGAATTATTATCGACCGATCGGACGAATAGAAAACACGTAAATCGAGGTTTTTTTCAACCGTACACATCTCGTCATTCTTGCGAAGATCTTGGCAGCAATTTTTTTCTTGCAAGCGAACGTATATCCAAGTTGGTAAGTTGTCTGAGCCGCAGATAGTTCGCGAATACGTGTGCGCGCGGAATCAACGTCTTTTACCATATAGCCAACTCGCCATACCGATCGCTCGTTTCAATGACTAAATTACACTTTCCTCTATACTCGCGGTTGCGGTTTGCGAATACTCCACGCATACTCCGAGAGAGATAAGAATGCTGTTCTCAACCTGAAACGAGACACTTGCGTATATGCTGACTCGTTCAAGGATTACGATTGGCTTTTCGCATTTCGATTCGAGGTTCGACGTTCTTCTCTTTTTTTCTTTTTTATCTCACGACATCGTCCCGATTGCTGGTAGAGAGAGCTCGAGAGTGTTTAAAGCCTAGTTTAATAGATCCCATTCGAAACGGCCACTGGTATTTCTCGGTCACTCTAATTTCTTTTCTCTTCAAAAAATGCTCTAATCGCATTTATTTTCTCGCTTAATGACACAATATGTTTTGAAACGCCTGCTCGGTTCACATGATCCGATATAATGATTTGTCGAATTTCCAACACCACTTGAATTGTCGATATCGGAGGAGATCATGCGCGCGCGTTTAAAGCGTCAATTTCATTTGTGAACACATTCAATACCGACCTGTCATTGTATAATGGAGTTTCTTTTGCTACGCAAGTCACACTTACTGGTTTACTTTCCAACCCACAGCCTCCATTAACAGACTGCATGAAACAAACCATATATTATCGATTTTTTTCTTGAAAGTCCAATACTTCACATTTCTAACAAAATTATACAGATGAAAGTGAGTAATTTGTGAGTAAATTACATTTTTAATCGTATTTGAGAGACTTACTGAGATTTTTTTCTCTTGAAAAATTGAAAACTGACCATAATGTATCCTCATTGTCCAAGTCACCGCCTTGCATTGTGATTATTCATGCATGAAATTAAAAAAATGAATGAAGTCAAAATAAACACTGCACACGCTTCGTTGGTGTAAATACTAGATAATCCTCGTCCATGCATTGTACGTAATACGTACTACGTATACGTACCAGTTATCGGCTTAGCTGAGATTCATAGTCTTGACTTTTTTTCATCGAAAATTGATTTTCTTGATATTTGAGCTTAGTCCCTTTCGATAGTCTCAATGAGAATCTATTAGATGACTAATCACCTGAAGCATTTTCTTCGTCAAGCTTCTTACAGGGTGAAAATGATCGTATTTTTACTTAAGAAGATTAGGTTTAATCGCTTGTATTGAATTAATAATTTGTATACGGACTCGTTGGCGCATTAAAGTGGAAGTCAGAAAAGAGGTAAAAATAGACCAAGACAATCTCGTTGTCCCGATCGACCTTGGTCATTTTGAAAATGGAAATTTATGTCGAGTAAACCGGACCAATATCGGATTCAGCAATTTAAGGCAGCCCCGCGCCGCGTTAAGCTGCGGGAATCATCAATTTTCAACTTCTCGGAATCGAAGATGTCGCCGTGCAAAGCCTCGAATATACTCGATATTCGCGCTTGTAAGAGAGCTGCAGATAAGGATCGAGATTATTGAGATCGATAAGGCGCCACGGAGTGAATCCGCTGCGCGCGCTCCTTTTGCCTTTCGATCATTATGTCGGAATCAATTAAATTTCATCGAAATTCGCCGAGGTTTTGCATATAGGCAGGCGGCGCGCGCATTAATTAACGATGGAAAATGAACGTAGCCTTTCTCGATACATGTGTAGTTATCGTGATTTTGCGCGCGCGCGCGCGTGTGTGTGTGTGTATTTACGCACTAGAGATTATGCGTGTATGTGTGGGAGTGAAACGAGACACGAAGAAATACGATTCGATCGATTATACACGTTTTTCGTGCGAAAATAATACGCCTTATGTGTGTACACTTGCATCATATCGAAATGAAATTTTAGCAGTCGGGGCTAAAGTACGCAACGGGGCTATATTATAACGTATACATGCAGCGCGGCTCGTGTAACTTTATACATCTCAATATATAGTCGAGAGTACGTGCGGATGAAGTACGAATGTATTATATGTGCTGTTACAGAGAGCTTCGATATCGCCAGCCGACAACAAGTATATCAGGCAACGCTCGCCGCAAGATAATCTACACAGTCATCACTCATCGAATCATCACGAGCATCCGATTCATATGAAAAAAATGAAGAAGGAACACGAGAAAGATCTTGGCCACGTGAGTATACTTTGAGCGCTTTTATCGCGAGCCGCGACCGATTCCACAACTTTCGTGTTTTATCGCGTATAGCTGCGACGTTCAACTCCCGTAATAATGTCCAAGTCTCGGAACGATAACTCACCTCCCCAATATCTTTTTGCCCGAAAAACAGCAAAGCGACGGAGAGAAAAGTGACCAAGATCTCGTGGTCGACGATGCCAGCGACTGCCCTGCTAGTCCCGCTGTGAATGGCACCGCCTCGCCCCGCGAAAACGGCATCGAGAAGCACACCGCCTCGGGTATGAGCAGTGCCGGTTCCTCCAGCAATGGCAATGGCCAGCTGAAGAAGGACGTGCCGCCTCAGTCGCCTCGCAGCGGCACTAGCAGCAACGCTAGCACCCCCTCGGCCAAGAAGATGGAGGAGCGCGAAAAATCCGCCACTCCGATCTCGAAGCCCATGACGCCGACTCCTTCGGCGGCTCTGAAGCCCGCGAGCACGAGCAAAGCTCCGGCTGCCATGCAGGGCCCACCACCTCCGGGTGGCATGCCCGGCGCTTTCCCCGCCTACTATCCTCCCGGACCGCATCATCTGCCACCGGGAGCCAACCCAGGCCAACTAGAGCTCATGGGATATGGTGCCTACGGCGCCCCGAGACCACCACTGGGTGCCGGAATTCCACCTCAGATGTACGATCCGCATGGCGCCATGAGAATGCCGCTGCCAGCTGCCTCCGTTCCTGGTGGAAAACCGTAAGTAACTCGATTCTTCCCTCACAGAGCTCGTCTTTTGAGTCTATGCAATCGATCGATGTTTAATCGTGACCATCGTCTTCTGTTTCTTGTTCTTGCAGAGCTTACAGCTTCCATGTTTCTGGCGACAATATCATGGTACCGGTACCGTTTCCTCCAGATGCTCTCATGGGCGCCGGAATTCCACGACATGCCCGGCAAATCAGCACACTCAACCATGGAGAAGTAGTGTGCGCTGTGACGATCTCGAACCCGACCAAATATGTCTACACCGGTGGAAAGGGCTGCGTGAAGGTGTGGGACATCAGCCAAACCGGCAACGGCAACTCCAAACCCGTGTCCCAATTGGACTGCTTGCAACGTGAAAATTACATCAGGTCCGTGAAACTGTTGCCCGATGGACGCACACTCATCGTCGGAGGAGAAGCCAGTCAGCTCAGTATCTGGGACTTGGCTAGTCCAACTCCAAGAATAAAGGCCGAACTAACGTCTTCGGCTCCAGCCTGTTACGCACTCGCGATCTCGCCGGATTCGAAAGTTTGCTTCAGCTGCTGTAGCGACGGCAACATCGCCGTGTGGGATCTTCACAATCAGGCGCTCGTCAGACAGTTCCAAGGCCACACCGATGGTGCATCGTGCATCGATATATCTGCCGATGGCTCCAAGCTGTGGACCGGAGGTCTCGACAACACTGTGCGCTCGTGGGATCTTCGCGAGGGTCGTCAGCTCCAGCAGCACGACTTCACCTCGCAGATCTTCTCACTTGGCTACTGTCCCACCGGCGAATGGTTAGCCGTGGGTATGGAAAATTCTAACGTTGAGGTACTGCATGCGACCAAACCCGACAAGTATCAGTTGCATCTGCACGACTCGTGCGTACTGTCGCTACGATTCGCTTCCTGCGGCAAATGGTTTGTTTCTACTGGCAAGGACAACCTTCTCAACGCATGGCGTACACCTTACGGAGCCTCGATATTCCAGGTGAGTCTTTTATACTTTGTGTTCGGCTCTTTCTGCTGCTGCTGCTTATTATTATGTATTACAGTATTACAAGCGCGCTCGAGCTTACATGTGGACACACACACGTATACCTATAAATACGCGCATTCTCGTTTTCTTTTCCTTTTAGCACGTTCTTTATTACCAAACGCGTTTTTATGGCTCCTGCGTACACACTTGCGCGCGCGCACGCGGCACTAACCCCATTGTGCGTGAAGTAGTCGTCTTTTTGCCACCATCGTGGTAACACGACTGAAGCGAGTTTATCGCTGTGTTGCGAGCTTGTTTCTTTTTTCTTCTGCAGCTTTTAAAGCTAACGCCTTTTTTACGGCCAGTGGCTATTATGCAGCTTTCGTGCGTTATTTTTTTTCCCTTCCTCTTGCTCTCTCTCTCTCTTTCTCTCTTTTTATTTGATTGCCTATTAAGGTGCGCAGGACGTTGAAATTTGAAGCGAGGCCTGTGGAGTGAAATACGACCGCCACAGACGGAGATGTGAATTTCGGTAAATTATTGCGAAAAAAATACGCTCGCGCGTAGATGCTGTGTATTCGAGTCCATCGCGAGATTATTCCTCGAAGCAGTATAGCTCGCGCGTCTTCTCATTTGAATTTTTATTGCCGCCTAGCCGTATATGAAATTAAAAGTTTAATTTTCACTCGCAAAGCAAATTATCAAAGCGTGCATGATACACGTGTCACGAATCTCATAACTTTGACTATTAAAAACTGCTCTCCACAAAACTACGCACGCGCACACATACATACACATTTTACGTAATAAAATATAGATTATTTTTCTCTCGATTCGAAACGTGTACGTTTTATAGGCATTGAATAAATTTTTCTTTTTCGTTTCCTGTTACAGTCGAAAGAATCGTCGTCCGTGTTGAGCTGCGACATTTCCATAGATGACAAATTCATCGTCACTGGTTCTGGTGATAAGAAAGCAACGGTCTACGAGGTGATGTATTAAAGCAGCCACCTTTGTGCCAGACAGATGCAGGAACACAGGCAGACTTGAGAAAATTCTTCGAGTCTCACGCACAATTTCAGCATGCCAACTGACCATATTGTACATAAGAGAGAATAGATGGTAAGACTGTCATGATCACTGTCCAAATCACCCGTTGGCTGAGTTTTCGTATCATCGAATTTGTGCGGAAATGTTTATAACTACACGCGCGTGCAATTATAATTATTATTACCTCATAAAAAATTCATTGTTACAATTACCATTAAAAATTATAAACGATTATTGCTATTTTTGTAATTAATTTTCGTATGATTCTATAAGATAAAAGTAGTATTTAAAATTTTAATGAGCGCGAGATAATTTGATTATATTTTTAAAATCAACAAAAGTCGTTAGCTTGTTGGGTAAAAAATGTACTTTCATGCATATTTTAACGCAAACATATTTATTTTTTACAATATGTTCATTTGAATGTATATGAAAGTACTGCATAAATCTCATTAACTGAGAGAAAATGAAGCATTTCTTCGACAGCTCTTTGACATTGCATAGACTTAGATTTTCATTAAATCGTTGTTTTTTTTTAATTTTTTTACGTTTATTTTTGTTTTAAGACTAAGCAGATGAATCGCGACGACGAAAGAGAGTGAGTGTGCACGAGCGATGTGATGAAAGCTTTAGTACATGCAAATACAGACGCGCGTCGGGCTTATTATATAAAATGAAGTAAGAGCAAAATAGAGGAAGAAAGAATAGCTTACGACTTTGTGCGCAGCAAGTTGCACACATGCATTAAGTCATTGTCGTGTCACGAGCGTAAAGAGGCAGAGAAAGAGAGGGAAGGAGGGAGAAAGAGCTGCAAATGGCTAACGCGCGTCCGCTTGTATGTGCGTGTGTATGTGTGTCTTGTTAAAATACAATGCACAGACGCACGCATCTCGGCAACTCCGCGCTGTCGTGTATCGCATTTATGTACATTTTGTATATACAGCTTTTAACTACTTAGGTATTCTTACATATACATACACATACATCCACGGAAGCATACATAAACACGTACACCTGACACACACTTGGTCTCTGATATTTTTTTACGTGATTCATATAGATTTATCAGACTTATTTGATACATGAAAATATGTTTAAACGCTCTTTTGAAATGCATTAGATGTGTATCGTAATCGAGATCTTTATTAATATTTATAATAATATATAATACCTTCAGGTGATGATTAAAGAAGGCTAATAAGTTATAATGTTATAGAAATATTTCAATTGATTTTAGACTAAACGCAAACAATTAATGCATGTGCGTAGATTCATTGATAATTGGAAATGAAAATTATTGAAATTTATAAATTATAGTTGACAATTGTATATAGAAATATATTGTATTAATTATTAATTTGTACTTTCTTTTGCGTTTAGCGCACGATTATAAGTTATAATTTATAACAATATAAAAGTATGTTTCTCTCTCGATCTTATACTCGAGGAAAATTACAATTAGCAAATACATGACGAGAAATTCAACGGTCATACGTTTGCTAAGCGAATTAAAGATTATGATAAGATCCGCGTCATAATTAATGTCGCTTAATATGAATATGTAAAAGGCCAAAGTTTCTATTTCTGTTGGTACTATATTTACATTAAAAGGCAGTATGCATCAATGAAAGGAAATCGCAGAAGTAAAAACTGGTCTCGAAAATTCAAAATAAATAAATGTACTGTTAAATGAAAGCCACAAAGAATCGCATGATTTACATGTAAAAAGTTTGACAAATTTAATAAATTACATTATTGGCTTAAAAATAAATCATTTCATTCATTTACCCCAGTCCTTTATAATTAGCTTGCATCCTCGAGAAGAACAAAATTTGACTCTCAAGGTGAGTAGAGCGTATATTAACGTCGAAGGAAGTAAAATAAATAAAAAATAAGAAGCCGTTCACATCGATACAACAAGATGCAGCTAGTGGCACTGCCACTGGCAGAGTTGTCAAGTAAAGAAGAGAAAATTCTGGTGGTAGGTTTTCACTTGCGACGCATTAATTATAAAAAGCCACGACGAATAATTTGAGGCGTTTTCTCTGGTAGTCTGATTAGGAATATCGATCAATCGATAAATAAATTATCGCAGTGTTGCATGAGCGCAAACAGCATCGGTGGCAAATAGAAAATCGGCAATTGCGCTTTATGTGGATTTGAAAATTTCTCCGCAGGCGTATGTAGATAATACATTGGCGATTTGGCGCGTTGTATGCGCGTATACAGGCGCGATCGCGCAGGATAATAATCATTAACGAGTGATAATCGATTCAGCAATGCGCGCGCCCGTATACGCGTGTAAAATCCAGCATCGGCGTCCGACTAGTGGCGTGCATTAATGTGCGCGTATAAAAGCACACATACATAGGAGCTGGTTCAAGCACGTGCACACACACACACACACACTTGTGCAGTGGCTGTAGAGCTGACGCTGCTGTTGCCGCGATGTATCTCTGCGAGAGCACACTTGTACTCTCTTAATGCTTTTAGCCGAGGGATTGACTGGGCTACTGCACGAGAGCTCGAGCTACATCGTGAATATTATGCCGAACATTGGCATTAGAGCGTGCGCATATAATACACGTATATATAGGTATAGAGAGGGACCGGCTCGGACCAGATCCCGAACACGTATGTAATTAGCGATGCTGTTTTCAGCGCGGCTTCGTGCATTCGTGGGAAGCAGCTTTATATATATACGTTATTATTATCGGCCGATGATGCGCCCCGGCTGCACAGTTTCGTTCGTTCGTTCGCTCTCTCGCATGCAAATCTGCGACTATATGGGGCTTTTATCGCGCTTCAATAATGCACACGTATTATATATGCGCGAACTCGATATATGCCAATGCGCTTATGTATACGCAGCGAGGGATTGACAAGCAAATATGCGCGTTTACATGTGGCCGCAGACTCGAGCCTGTGCACGTACTATATGCGCAAGCCTGGAAAAGGCAAGTGAGAAAAAGGAAATATTTCGCTGCTATAACCCATCGGGACGAGACTCGAATTCATAAACGTGTTTACGAAGCGACGTGTGTGCACTTCTCGTCTGGCTTTTAAATTCCAACGAAGCCGAGCTAGCTTCTGTTTTGCGGGTACGCGCCCACTGCACGGCGGACTCGAGCAATAGCTTCGATTTGCGCAGCTCATTTGTCCGCGAAATTGAAGATAAAATTTTGCCGGTCGGCTCGCGTCGAGTCGCTCCTCCGAGCGTATATCCCCATTTATGTGCTCGCGAGCGTCACTTGTCGGGCGACGCAAATTAACGGGCCAAAGCAAAATGAGCTACTACCTGCGGCTGATCTACGTGCAGCTTTGCAAGCTCGTCCACATTTGTACAATTGGACACTAATAAATGTACTCGGCGCGCCCGAGCCCGCTCATATAAATTTCCCCGAGTCGTGCTTGCGTATATCAATTATAATTGCGTGTAATGAGTCCGCGCAGCATGTCGAGTCGAAGCTTTCTGGAGCTTTTCGGGTGCTCGGCTGTGGCTTTGGCGAACTGGGAACGCGAAATCCAAAGTTGAACCGAAAAAATCGACGTTGCCGAGTTAATAGGTGTTTTACAGTCAAGACGACTCGTACAGAGAGCCCAGTCCGCACTGTCAAATACGGAAAACGAACAGTTATAAATATTATACGGTAGCTCTCTTGGTCGACATAATATGTGCTGTATGTACACGCAGTTGCATTGCGTTGCTTCGTCGTCGTTAAATTACACATCTCCATCTCCGAGACGTACGTACGTATGTATGTACGTACGTATGTAGGCATGGCTATAGGAAGGTAGCGACGCGTGCAGCCGGCAATTCGCATGCGTTACGTCGTACACGTGCTGCTGCTGCTGCTGGGCTTATACTTGCGGTGGATTTGCATGAGCAAGCTCTTCTCTCTTCACTCTGTCTCTCTGTCTCGCTCTTCGGGCCGTATGTGCGCAAACACACAGGCATATGCGCGCGTCTGCAGCCAGTGGTGTCGGCCATATAAGCGAGTATAGGTATACGCGCGCCAGGGTCGCCGAGCGAATATGTCGACATATGTATATTTGTACGTATACGAGTGCGCAGTTACGAGTGCATGCGGCTGGGGCTCGATCCGTACAAGTGGCCCGCGTCTAGCTGCATTATGTATATGGCGTATATAGCTGGTTGACGTTTGATTGCGGCTGGCCCGAGGACGCCCGAAACGCGTGTACAGCTTGCCTACATATAATATGTACAGTAGTTCGCAAGCGCGCGCGTTTACCCAAATCCTCGTGTTCGTGTGGGTCTACGTAAGGTCTACATAAATACATGCCTCGGAGCGAGCCACGAGCGTCCTATGTGCGTTTAAGGAGCTTGCAGCTTTTCCGCCCTCGCTGTATTATACAGCCGCGGAGCTTTTGGACAATTGTAGAAGGAAAACTGCTCGTTTAGCTTTGGAGCTGCTGTAGTTGCGCGCCCGTAACCGCAGCTCGTCGACCGTTAAATATCGAACAATGGAATTTTTCTGCGCTCGGCAAACAAGCAGCTCCAGTGTGTAGGTATTATTATACATGCGCGCAGTATTCGCAGAAACGAGCGTATTATGTATCGCGTATACGTACGAGCGTCGTCGAGCGATTGCGCAAAAGCAGTCACTAATTATGACGGAGCAAGTTTGCAGCTCGATGCTCGCGACGCTTTGCCCTCCGCGTGCGCGTATAATGTGTAGTGTTGTATTACCGTAGACTCGACTCGCAGATTAATCGCACAATAATAATATCGCCGACACATTACTATATAAGTACAATAAGATAAGAATGATTGGTGCGAGGATCGTCGGTGTGGCCGTGGGTCGCCTCGCCACGGCACGTATACCCCTTGACAAACTTTTTACGTAACTATAGTACAATGGGTGTGCGATTCGTATTTATGGTCCGCTGATTGGCTTGGGCGAGCATACGATTTGTACACGAGTGAAGTTTGAGTCGAATCAAGTCGAAATAAAATTGAGTACCCGAGAGTGTTTGTCTACTTGAGTTTTTTGGATGCTCAATTTTACCGAGTGCTTTTTTAGAACATTTAAACTTTTTCAATTGCACTCTATCATAATTTTTCATTCGAATATTTTTGATGTTTGTATAACTCTGGTCTTGACAAGGTGCCGTGGTAATGAATACACGATTTGCGATCCCTTACTCCAATTTTATCGGGTGCTTATCAATAGAAAAATCAAAATTCAGTCTTAAACATATTTATTTTAAAAGCGCAGTAACATTTAATAATACGTAGCATTGTACATTACTACAAAAATCACCATTACGAGCTTTGGTCTGCAACTGCAGCAACAAAGAATCAATAGCCGATAGGTCATCAGCATCAATAAAAAATGGCCAAAAAATTCTCTCCTCTCTGAAAACCTTACAGGTACAAAGTACGAACCTCGTGATGCCTTCTAAGTAAATCTGACAATGTCAACGAGCGTCAGAACTCGCAGTAGTCCAAATTTGTGAGCATTTTTGCCGCCTTTCCGGGTCGTAACCGGATCAGTTCATAGAGCGCCAGACTTGAATTCATCATTATTTCTTTCGCTTTTGTCACTAACTCCTCGACTTCATGATCGTTAGAGCACCGCTTCTATCCAGTTTGGATCCTCATCTCTCCAGAAACTCAATGATGACAAAAACGTGGGACACTAGGTAAATT